TGATTGCTTACCAAAGCACTTTCGGCGCAACTCGGCCCCTAGCCATTATGTCAACTACCACACTATGGATGAAACATTGTGCTCCAACGATAAGAGGACGGTACCAACTAAACCTTGAAGACGTGACTAACGGAATTTGCTCAAGTGATCGATCGACATTTATTTTTCCATCACTAATGACTATGCATTAGAAAGACAATTATTGCTGTTTATAATCGTTCATATACTATACAACAACCAAATGTATCAAATTATATATGTATTGGTATATTACATGTTCTGAATTTTAGTGGAACGAAATATATGTATTAACCTCTACGTATTGTACATAAATTATGTTTTTCTTTTTTTAATTGACATTACATGGCTTTTAATTAGTGATTAATTATTGCTAGAATTACTATAGCATGCAAAATTTCAGTTTGAATTTCATTGCTGGTAGAATTTAATGAGGGTAGAGATATATTTGATTTATTTTTACGTACTTCATGAATTCATTCATGCTATACCTCTAAAAGTTGACGTCTTTTTGTCAATCCACTTTTTTGAGTTGATTGATCGGTAGAGAACTAGAGAAAGGAAGGCCATTGATATTTTTTAGATTAGTAATGATAGTTAAACATCATATCAATGTATATATCAAGTATTTATAAAGAGTGGTGGTACATATTATCCAAGATCAAATTATACTACGAGTACTAATTTTTGTTTATATATACATACGTTATTTGTTTGAGGTAGCAGGGTGCATAATGCATACGAGTACATATTATATTATAGTAAATATCCAATTATTTAAAAGGCATTATGGAAGAAATCATAAAAGATGATAAAAAGTCATTATCATTGGTTTTTTGTCAATTGGAAAGAAGCTAGCCGATCATTTTCAATGTTGAAGCAGCTTCATTTGTGTTTATACATTATCAAGCTAAGTCACGTTAGTTAATTGCACTACTTATATTACACTGGTTCACATATACTCTTCTTTATTGACCATCTTTCATAATATCTATTGTTAAAATATTAACTTTTTATTATAATCTTTATTCAAAAAGGATTAAGTTAAATTAATGATCAAAGTTCTTATATAGGTCTTTGATTGACCTAAATAACAAAGAAAATTATAATTATTATTGTATTTTTGGGGTTAGAATAAAATGATTTTCATATGTACAGTCTCATAGATTGTGAGAAAAATTTAGTTATAACTAACTTTAAATTGTCAGAAGAATACGAACAACAAATCCGTTGTAGTCTAGTTGGTCAGGATACTCGGCTCTCACCCGAGAGACCCGGGTTCAAATCCCGGCAACGGAATTTTTTTTATTTATTTTTGCCGCTTCGAAATTTATCGTCTTCTCCAAATATCTTTCTTAAGCTTTAAACCCTTTTATTTTGCAAATCCCTTTTTTCTCTCTCCTTTGGTTCCTTTCTAATACCCTCAATTTTTCCCCAATTTCATCCCTCTTTTTACTCCTCTTTTCAGATTATTTTTTCAAATTTTGCTGGTATTCAATTATTCGTTCCTTTTTTCCAGAAATCTAAAGGTGAATTTCGTAAGTGTTTTTTTTCTTCTTCATTTTAATTTTATCTAAATTCAAGCTATTAGTTCATTATTTGATGATTTGTATGCAATTTAATATCTGTTTTTTCAATTAAAATTGTATGATTGAGGGTTTTCTATTAATTCGAACTATTCATCCTTACTTAGGGTTTACTTTTGCGTCTAATTAACCAACTTGATGATTCTAATCAGATTCTTAGTCGATTTTTTTTGTTTTTTTTGTTTTTTTTGAAACGAAATTAAGCTTCCTTATAAAATCGTGATGTATTAGATGTAGACGGGATTTGATCCGAGGTCTTTGGTAGTGCTGGCATCCACAAAATCATGAATTGTTACTGTTGCATGGTTTTGTGCATCCTTTAGTAGTTTTGATCACAAAATTGGTGTAAGATTGTTTCTACAATATGTGTGAACTGAATACTGATTTTAAGTTTTAAGGATCATACTACTGTATATAGTAAACTGAGAATCAAATGAATATTGAAGGTAATTATAAAAGGTCCCTTTTATTGGCTGTATGTTGGTGCATCTTCGATTGTCGTTTCTTAGATACATAATGAGATGCGTTCAAACCCGTCTAGGATGAGGTTAGGTATATTGTGGTAGTTCATACAAATATGAAATTTATGATTTCTGTGGCTTTTTGCCTTTTAGTGTTTAGATGTTGAAAAATGTAGTGTACATAGTTAAATTATGAATGAGGGTCCATTGAGCTTTTATTAGTAAGGGTTATCTTTGTTATGAAATGATGCATGTTGATTTGCTAGCAATGTGGTGTATGATGCAGCACACGTTTTAGCTTTGAGTTGATCAGAATTAGGAATCACTTAGAAGATATTGTGAACAATGTATGAATCATCGCTTTAGTAATTTTGCATAACTAGAGTAAACATGTTTAGGTAATTGGTGCTTTTATCATTCGATTTCATGGAAAAGAGCCATATCTGGAACTGTTACTTAACATTAATAACAGGCTCTGAAGTTTGAGCTTTAAGTTTTTGTAATTTGAATCAGTGGCAAGATTGTTGTGCTTAACTTCTTTTGATGACCTGCTCTTGATAATTATGCCTGGCATGTTCAATCTTAATTTACCTCTTTAAGTTTGAATTTTCTCTGTTGATTAATTTATCATGGGGTATCCATCTTTGTCATTACATTGCTGATTGCTGGATGTTCTTCTTTCGTATTCTGCTTATGCCTAAAGAGTCGTACTTGCCTGCTTCCTGGATTTTGTTTGACTTGAGTTTGATTATAATGGTGAATTTTTGAAGTTGTTGGTCAGAAATGTGGAATGCTCAAGTACTCATCATTCCTTTTACTTGTTTGCTTGCAGGTGTGGTTATTTCATTCTGAATACTTTCTACTTATCATTAATTTGATTAATAGAAGGCTAATCTTGTAGCCTATGGCTATAGTAGATGATGACATGAAGGAAGACTCACTTCGTTCTGTCTTTTTGAACTCTCTAATATCCAATGTCGATGAAGAGAGTCTCTCTCTTGAAGATGTAGCCTGGGCAGATTCATGCCTGAATAAAGATGTGGATGATTCGGATACAGACTGGAGTTCTATAAAAGATGCATTATTGGAGATTATCAGCTCTCAACCAGAACCTCCATCTACTTCAGTGGTGCAGAGCAGCATGCAACTGTCTGCTGATGAAATTCCTCAATTCAGAAAAAATCTGACTAGTATGGATTTCGGTGGAGGATCTGATGAAGATGAGAATCTCATAGATGGTGATTTTGGAGAGATTGAAAGCATTAATTTATCTGAAGATGATGAAGATGATTTTGTAACCAGAAATAAGAGAGGCAGGGTGAGAGGAAAAGTTCTTAACGTTTTCCGCCCAAATTATTCTGAAGACATAAAAGTAGAGAACCTTGATTCTGATTTGAACTCGAGTTTGACAACATTAGAGGTGAATACTTCATTGGAAGACATCTTCAAAGTCTGGGATCTTGGGATTTCAGACGAGCAAGATGAGTTTGGAAAACAATTGAACAAGGCCCTTGCTGATGTTCCTTCACAGATTCAATCAAGTTCCAGTGATTCAGAAGCATTAAATGATCCGATGCAGGTGTCTATAGATGATGTCATTGCTGGCATTGGTGATCTGTCTCTCAAGCAATATACAAAATGAGTTGTTCGTTTGCTTCTAACTTTTCTTGTTTAGTTCCTGGTCATATATTCATCTGGTAGTTTTACATTTTTGCCTTCCTACTTCTACACTATGAAAGGCGAGTTTCTGTAAACTTGTTTTTGGCCTTCTGCTTTTCCTAGAAATCAGAAATGTGCTGTTGAAATGTTCTGCTTTGCTGGTAAATTGTTTATCTTCAAAGTTCTTATTTCAATGGAAGTTAAAGTGAAACTGTTCTTATTTTAGAGTAGTCTGTCATTGTACACTCCCTTTGGATTTCTTCATCAATATTGGAAGCTCACAAGTTAAGTATCCATGTCAGTTAAAAAGATTTACACGACTTAAATTATTTGAGTATTATAGTATAACACGAACATTAACAATATGTTACAGTATGTGGTAGCGATAATGGGAAGGGGAGGGGAGGAAAGAGGGGGAGGAAGGAGTAGGCTACCCTTTTCCTTTCTATCACTCATAAGGATCCTGTTCTCTTTCTTTCTAAATTCCTCAGTCCAAACACACTGCAACTTCTTTTTGAACGAAATGAGAACTAAATTCCATAATTTTGACATAGTAACCCCTGTTAGTGATACCGTAACTACTTTCTGAATTGGGCATTGAATAACATATTCGGACATCAAAATTAGCACGAGGAATCATGTGATTATTCGATAATTTAGCATGGTACTATTGTAAGTATTCTATACTACTTTCTAGTTTGTACATCTTAAATGTCTAGGTTTTTTTTGATGTGGATGAGAACATGTCAAAAATGTATTTGGTTGTGATAGTATTGCTGCTGATATCCATACTGATGTGTAAAATCCCATTTCTTCAAGTTGAAAGATAAAGCCAAGATTAATGGGACATACCCAAGGGTGGGCCCACACCCTTTATCAACGAAGATGGTTCATCCACATGGTTTGAACCACAATCTTTGATTTGAAATGGCCAATTATTAACCGTCAAATGTAGTTCATCAAACCTTACCCTCAAAATCCAGTGATTAACTAATAACCATTTATCTCTAAAATACTAAAAGACATTTTTTAGAAGGATAATAGCCTCATATTCACCTTTCACTGATAGGAATACATTGCAATCTCTGCATCATCTGTCATTTTTTTCCTATTTTTTATTTCTATTTAGATTTTCTCGCTTATCGAGCTCGAGGCGTGCCAACTAGGCAGGATTTATCATCCACATGGCGGTACGTCACTGGCCGAAGCATGACAGCCTCTCAAGCAAGACATATTATGATAACATGCATTACTAGAGTTATATAAATTTGTAGTACTGAAGCATTGATTAGCCTGTGTGGTAGAGTTTGCTAAGAGGAGGGATAAGACTTTGCATATCTTTTGGCTAGTCTGTTCTGTTCTCTTTAGCATACACAGTTCATTGAAGAAAAATGGCCTCAGCTTCTCTTCTGAAGACCTCACCAGTCCTTGACAAGTCTGACTTTGTCAAGGGCCAGACCCTCCGCCTTCCTTCCATTGCTGGTGTCAGGTTCACTCCCTCGGCTCCATCGTCTTTGACTGTCCGTGCCAGCTCCTATGCCGATGAGCTTGTTAAGACCGCGGTACGTTAAGTTAGCCTTTTCTATCTCTTTACTGATAAATTGTTTTGATGTTTGCACATGTACTTCAGTTAGCTACAGTATATAATTATGGTTGTTTTCAGAAATTTATGCCTATGATTCTAAACATTAACTTCCTCTGTTTTTAATTAGTCGCTATGTTACTTTAGTCATGTTTGCCAATGCATATTCTCAACCATTTATACTTTTTAATATCAATAAGGAAAAAAATAAAAATTGATATTAATAGATTACACATAGATATTAATCTAATCTAACAAGATTTCATATGACTTTGTTTTTATTTATCACAGAGTAGAGTCTAAGTAGATTATATGGATAGTGTACACTATATAAAAGAAACATAGCAACTAATAAAAAACCGAGGTAGTATAAAAATAGAATATTATAGCGAAATAGAAGTAATAAAGGTGAAGAAAAAAAAGAGTTTTTGTAGATGTATATAATGACCGGGAGAAGTATCTAAGTGTGGATTCTATGATTCTCTGACACTTAAGTTAATGATTTGACCACCTTAAAAGTTAACCATGTTGAAAAATTGTAGTGTTTTATTTTATGGTAAATACTAGTTATACTTGTCCACTGTAAGATAAGTAAAAAAAGAATTCAGAAGCAAATAAAGTTGTTTATTTGTGGGGGTTGTATGCAGAAAACTGTGGCATCACCTGGCCGTGGAATCTTGGCCATGGATGAGTCGAATGCCACCTGTGGGAAACGTCTTGCCTCAATTGGTCTAGAGAACACAGAGGCTAACCGCCAAGCCTACCGTACCCTTCTTATCAGTGCCCCAGGCCTTGGTCAGTACATCTCTGGTGCTATCCTCTTTGAAGAGACTCTTTACCAATCCACCACTGATGGCAAGAAAATGGTTGATGTCCTCATTGAGCAGGGCATTGTTCCCGGTATCAAAGTTGACAAGGTTCGATATCTTGCCACACTCTTACATGCAGATTAAATTAGAGCAGGAAAGTAAGTATGCTAGTGTAATATTGATATGTGAACATCGATAATGTACTAATTTACAGGGTTTGGTGCCACTTGCTGGTTCAAATGATGAGTCATGGTGCCAAGGTCTTGATGGTCTTGCTTCCCGCTCTGCTGCTTACTACCAGCAGGGTGCCCGCTTTGCCAAATGGTACATAATATGATCTTACTCAAAGAATGACTATATATTTGCTAGTTAGATGTGAATATTCACACAACAAAATTTGGATTGTCGATTTTCTACAGGCGTACTGTTGTGAGCATTCCCAATGGCCCATCTGCCTTGGCAGTGAAGGAAGCTGCTTGGGGTCTTGCTCGCTACGCTGCTATCACCCAAGTAAGCAATGAAAAACCAGAACCTAAACTTTGTTTTTTTAACAGACTATTTCACCTATATTGGTTCTTATAAATTATATGTTGTATATAGGACAATGGATTGGTCCCAATTGTTGAGCCAGAGATCTTGCTTGATGGTGAGCATGGAATCGACAGGACATTCGAGGTTGCTCAGAAGGTTTGGGCCGAAGTGTTCTACTACATGGCAGAGAACAATGTGCTCTTTGAGGGTATCCTTCTTAAGCCAAGCATGGTTACCCCAGGTGCTGAGTGCAAGGAAAGGGCCACCCCTGATCAAGTTGCTGATTACACCCTCAAGCTCCTCCACAGGAGAATCCCCCCATCCGTCCCTGGAATCATGGCAAGTTCCTATACCTTCATTACACTTAATACTAAAACGCTGAATTTAATTGACTTCAAATCATTCAGTTATTATCTGTGTACTATCATCATACATTTTAGCAAAACATTATATTCTGCCTTCGACCCTAAATTTTAGGCCACATGGTACCCGATAAGTTATGTTGGATATAAGGTTTATCTCTATACCGTTCATGGTTTTTATCCTGTCCATTCATTACCCCTTAATACTGAATTGTTGAATATAAGGTTGATCCCTAAATGTTTAATCATTATTTATGTTAGTTACAGATATTGTACATTTTAGAGAAATGTCATGTATTTTAGTTACCTCAGTCTAGGAAGATTCTAGTGTTTTCATCCCTCTGATCATTTCCTGAGAATATTGTTGTGATTTTTATTTGCTTTGGTTGGCAGTTCTTGTCTGGTGGGCAATCTGAGGTGGAGGCAACCTTGAACTTGAATGCCATGAACCAGAGCCCCAACCCATGGCACGTATCTTTCTCCTACGCAAGAGCCCTTCAAAACACCTGCTTGAAGACCTGGGGTGGAAGGCCCGAGAACGTGAAGGCTGCTCAAGATGCCCTGTTGCAACGGGCCAAGTCCAACTCTTTGGCTCAGCTCGGTAAGTACACTGGTGAGGGTGAGTCCGAGGAGGCCAAGAAGGGCATGTTTGTCAAGGGCTACACTTACTAAGAAGATTATTACCGAGTGGGAGTTCTTATTAGATTAAGTTTGTTTATTTTAATGGAGGTTGATCACGGACCTAAAATTTGTGTATTTAAGTTTGAAGGCCCTAATGATGTGATTAACGGCCATGAAACAGACTTTTTTGGTCATTACTTAAATTGTATGTACCTTATACTCAAGTTTTAATAAGATGTTCAGCTACTAATGAGATTTACCTTGGCTCTTGGAAATTGGTTATTGCTTTTAACAAGGGTTTGAAATGACATAATTTTCTTCTAAACTTTAATTTTATGTTTTCTTCTTGTACTAAATAGTATATTAAAACATCACCTTAAACTTATAAGGTCCGTTTTGGACTTTTGGTTCAATATTTTTTCAAACAATGGGACTTGGATGTTAAATTACCCCACCGTTGTTGCTGTTCTGCACTTCCGCCACCATTGTTTACAGATTTGTTTCCTTGGTTCTTGCTTCATGTTAATTTGCGTTTTAGTTGCATTAAACATTTCTTTAAGATAAGGAAACAAGTAATAATCAGGAGTCCCTCTCTTTAGGGGAGCGTCTAATTTATTCGTTTCAATGATTTACATACATAATAACGTATAAGATGATCAATGTTAGCCAAACTTTCTTCAAAAATATGTTAGCCTTACAGTTATCCGCTCTGCTTTTCTCCCTAAAAATGTGCAGTATCTCCCAGGTAAAGAAATAGTTGAGTGAGCATTTGACGTTGGTATGATTTTGTGGATCTTCCATGGGTACTTTCCAAATCCCTTTAGCCTGATAGCAACCTGTAAACCTTTGTGTGCTTGATGGCAACCTGTAAACCTTTGTGTAGCTATTGTCATTGCTTCTGACCAAGATCGTAAGAGTCGTGTTGAGGTTGTTCGTGTGGGCTGGGACGTGCAGTGGTTGCTGTGATTGTCGTGGATGAAGCTGATGAGGAGTTGGTTTTACATGAGCCATCAAAGTTAAGATTGTAGCATCCCATAGAGGAAGTAGGCGGTAGACCACCGAACAAAGGTGTGAGATACGTAGTGTTATGGTTGATGGGATTGGATGATGGTGTTGAAAGTGTTTGAGTTAAAAGGGTATACAAGCAAATGAGCAAAGAAATAACCTTAGTTGTACCATGCACAAGGTACAACCGATTGTACATTAAAAAAAAAATCACTAATCCAAAAATTTTCAATTTCATATAGTAGAACTTGAAATCTTTTTTTTTTGGATTTACGATATGTGTAGGCGGTAGAAACATTGAAATTGAAGAGCATTTTTCTTACCTAAAAAAAAACTGAAATATAGCATATATTCTTGCACTCCTTGTATAAAGTATTTGATATTTATTAATTATATTTGAATTAACAAATAGCGTTTGTAGTCCAACGGTTAGGATAATTGCCTTCCAAGCAATAGACCCGGGTTCGACTCCCGGCAAACGCAATTTTTTTCCTTACCATCCTCTGTTTTATTATTGTCATGATTTGCACAAACACTTCTACTAGTAATTGTGATGCGAGTCCACTTGTTGATGCGGTTGCCTACTTTCATATCGCCATTAATTTGCTCCCCGGAGCCATTGGTATTATTTACAAAATTGAGTACACAGCCCCCGGGAGACGGGGCATGAAAGGAAGGTAAAGGATTATAGCCATAGTTCGGGTTGTGAGGAGCATGAAAAGGAGGATGATGATTATATAGTGATGGTGGAACATATGCATGACCAATATTAGGAGGAGCTCCTCCTTGAGTTTTAGGAGCAGAGTTATTTTGGTTTGTTTTTTGCACTTTTGAAGTGATTATATTGATAATACACTTATGAGTTGGGGAGGAAACCATGTGTGAGATGCAAGAGAAAGGGTTTTGATCATAGAAGAAGAGGGACGAGTAAAAAGAAATAGATGACTTTGATACCATGTGAAGAGAGTAATACGCGTATATTTAAATGTCAAATTAGAGGTATATGTACAATTATGAGCTTCATCATTTAAATTTATTATCATAATAACTTTTGATAATATATGATTTGTCACTAATCAATGTCTCCCAGTTAAATTAGTAGCTAGGATTCTATAATTGTTGGACAAAGATGAGCTAGATACTATTCTTCTTTTTAGTGATTAATTGGCTATTTCATTGTACAGAGATTCGTCCAATGGACTAATGGAGTTTGCATGTAATAATGTTTAGTACTAATTAACCTAATTATATTATTCTCCTTACATAAACTTTGTACTCGAATTTATTTATTTGGCCCCTTATCTTCTCAAATGAATTGAATTTTTTACTCTATATTTTGAATGTAATTATAGTCGTACATAAACGAGAGAATCACAAAAGTTCATTGGGAGATCATATTAATTAGTGTATGCATATCGACTGAGCATCTATTCATGATTTATTGCATAAGAATGTAAGATTGTGAGAGAAAAAAAATTATCTATGACAACCCAATGCTTATGATCATTTTCCTAAATAACGACAACTATTAGAACATAATTTCTTATATGAAACCTTAAAGGTTAGCAAGAACTTAGAGCTTACTCATATACCTTGTTACAAAATTATTACAACCCTATTATTATTAGTAATGCGTATGTGACAGTCAAACTAGATTTAACTAGCTAGACATCCGGCCAATATCCCCTAGAGTAACATCCCCGGATTTATTTTGGCTGTCTTTATTGTCATGATTTCCACCAATACTTCCGATTTTGACATGACTCGAACTACTGCTATTGTTGCCAACTTTTACATCGCCATTGGTTGTGTACCGGAGCCATTAGTATTATTTCCGGAGTTCAATACATAGCCTCCGGGAGACGGGGCACGGAAGAAGGGTAAAGGGTTATAACCATAAGGGTAAAATGGAGGAGGATAACCGTAGTTTGGGTAATAAGGAGTACCAAAAGGAGGATGATTGTATAATGGTGGTGGAAAAACATGACTAGCATTAGGAGGAACTCCTCTTTAATTAGTAGGAGCTGGATTTTGCATATTTGATACAGTTTCTTTGATTTTTTTGGGTTATGTAACATGAGAGGACTAGTTCCACCTTTTATAGACATCAATGAGAGTATGAGACGTAGTAATGGTGGTATCGTATTAAGTATTATATTGTTTTTATTTGTTTATCAATAACATCTTAAGAGTTCTAAAGGCTGAAAAGCATATGCTTCTTTAGATTCAATCTTGGATATTTTTGTTTTAAATTAGTTATGTTCTTTTTTTGATGGAAAGATGGATCGCATAGCGGATTTTATTAATTCAGTTCGAGCTAGTTTTGTCAATGTTACGAGACTTGAGAGAAATATCCCTATTGTACATCCAATTTGAACACAACTACGAGTATCCCACCTAGCTACTGGACTTCTTGCATGGCCTCTTAACTTCGATCATATTGTTGAACATGTGCATTGCCTTCTTTCACCTATAAATTCCCCAATCACGTTAACTAATGGTACTTCTTGTACTAACAATAAGGTGCATTTATATCTTTAAGAACTTACTAGTTTAAAAACTCTACAATTAAGCATGCTTGGTTAGGAATTTAGGATAATAATTATTAATAAGCTAACTAAACCTAACTGTGCATTAAATTACTATCAAACTGCAACAATTTGGGATAATTAATTTAAGGCCAGGGTGATACATCCCCAAAAGTCCAAGTTGTTAAGTACATATTGTTTTTCTTCATTACTATTCATTAACACATTTAAAGACAACGTTAGCTAGCTCATAAGACAAATTTACAAGAAATTTCACATACATACTTGTTTGAAAGATTACAAGAACATTTCATCACATATTTATTAGGAGATTATTTTTAATTAATTATCATAACTTTTGATATGATTATTCTTCTTTAAATTGATACTTGTATAAAGAAAAATGAGCCAGATACAAGTGAAATGTACTTCTTTTTAGTAACCTACGTAGTATTTTTTTCCTTAACTTATTGTTTCGTTGAGAAATTATTTTTATCTACTCTCCCTTCATTTTAATCTCTTAAAAAATGTGCCTACGTAACGACTAGCAGCAAATACTAACATATCAATTGTGTCAGTCAAACAACCAGGCCACCTAAATAAACATCAACCGAACATTTTTCTAGTGGTATGGCAGGTACCATTCATGAAGAATTATTGCTCGACAAGCTAGGAGGATTACGCTGAATCGCTGATTGCTGAAAAGTAGAGGTGGGCATGGGCCGTGCTGGCCCGCGGGCAGCACGAGCACGGCACGATGGTGGCACGGCCCGGCACGGTGACCAAGGAGTGGGCCGTGAACACAATTTTGAAAAATTGGCACGAGCACGGTGGGTGGGACGGTAATTTAGCCCGCCGGCATGGCCCTCCAGCACGGCACGCGGCACGGCACGACCCGTGCAAAACGACTATATTTCGTTGCTTCCAACAGTCATAAAACGGCTATAATAATAAATTAATAATAAAATTATCATAAATAATAATAAAGAGTAAAAGAACTATAATAATAAAAATAAGAATATTAAAAAAAACAATAATAATACAAAAACATAAACATAAATTAATAAAATTATTTAAATATAATCATTTAAAAAGTTGTTCAAAAAAAATATATATCAATTTCTTTTTTTTAAAAAAAATATATTAGAAATTCTGGGCAGCCCAGCACGGCACACGGATCGTGCCGTGGGCTGAGGTGTGCCAAATAATAGCCCGGCACGGCCCGCCAAGTTACAGGCACGGCACGGCCCAACACTAGCCACCACCAGACACGGCCCGCGGTGGCCCGACCCGACACGCTGCCCACCTCTGTGAAAAGCATTTACATTTTTTGTGGGGAAAAACAATGCACTTAAAATAAATCCTGAAAATAAATCAAATATAATTCAATCATAAACATCAAGCGTTTGTAGTCCAACGGTTAGGATAATTGCCTTCCAAGCAATAGACCCGGGTTCGACTCCCGGCAAACGCATATTAGTTTTAGTTTTGGATTTTATGTTTTATGGTTGATAACATTAAAAACCTTTTTAAGAGAAACATGAATGCTTAATAATAACTTTTCATTTTGGGAGTTAGTTAACACCCCATGCACCTTAATGGCATGGCTCTGTCACTCTAGTGCAAGTATACAACAGAAGAGAAAGTACATAATTTTGAGTAGTTTAGTAAAACAAAGATAATACTTAAAAAGTTACTGTGGTCCGACAATTAGCCAATGTTGGCTAATTTAACATCACCAACAAGTTGTTGTCCACCTTGGTTGCCAATGTTGCTACCAATACTTCCAATCTTAACACCTCCAGTTCTTTGGCTTCGGTTCCCAATTTTGACATCTCCATTCTTTTGAATTCCTGATCCATTCACATTGTTACCCGTGCTGTAGTACGATCCATACATACCATTAGGGGCATACGCGGGAGGGTATCCATAACTCGGGTTGGAATAACAAGGCGGGTTTGAGTTTGATTGATAATTGTTGGATTGATGATAGCTACCATTATTTGGAGGAGTTTGTGTTGGTGAGGGAGGAGTACAATTAGCATTAGGGTTTGGAGAAATTGGAACAACATTATCAATAGCATCAACGAGGCCCATATTTTACAATTGAAATTATAAGCTAATGTTGAGGTGAGTTGTTTTTTGATATGAAAAATATTAGCAAGAGATACAAATCCTCTCTATATAAGAAGGCAAGATCAATTGTCCAAGCATAAAGCATCTGCTTAAAATTTAAGCTAAGCAAATTACTTGCTGATGAATGATGATAAGATTCGCAATAAAGTGGTTGATACGAGGATAATTAAAGATTTTTATGAATTCACAAAGTTTTTCCTGTTACAGTAAGACCACATGATCAGCAGTGTTATCCAATCATAGCTAAAGACGTGTCTGTATTGATGGGAGATTAATTTTGATTGGCCGAGCAAAGAAATTGGATAGATGCCTTAAGCTAGTGGATGATAACCTAAGGATATAGGGTCACTATCAACATAACCTTTGAACATATCCCATGATTATAACTTTATAAAGCATGTATATATACAGAAAATCTAGCTCTTGTATGTAAAAAGCAAAGGAATGTAACTTTTTTGAAGGTTAGAAGTATGTATTTTTGTAGAACATGGACGGTGGCCAAATCAGTGATTCTGTACCCACCATGTTTGAAAAGGCATATATCCTTACTTCCTTAGAGTAGAACAATAGTTATTATCGTGACTTCGATTAAAATTTTTGCATTGACATTAGCCTGTGCCCATATTCGTTATTCTGTGTGGCCTCACCATGTATGAAAAGCACAAATTCTTAGGGTAATTCTGTTTGTAACAAGTTTATCGCGTAAAATGGAGTCATATGTTCCGTAACACACAAGTTCAATTTGATCAACTTTCATATAGCCCACTTTATTCAATAATAATGAACATCTAAAGTTCACATGTTTAAAGATTACCTTAAAACATAACAGGATAGACAGCATACATTTTTTGCTACCCTTGGAGCCATTACATAGTGATTAACATATGCTATACAAATAATATTAAACCCGACCTATTTAATTAAATGATCAACGTACATAAGATTCATAGGCCAGCTTGACGTTGTAATGCATTGTTAAGTTTAGTTGTTACGATTGCCAACTTTGACATCTCCATTCGATTGTGTACCGGAATGATTGACATTAAAGCCGGAATTGTAAACATTTCCCGCTATAGGAATATAGCTACCTGGTCCCCAAGGAAATATAACAGTAGGATATTCATGACCTTGATCGGTAGGCTGAGTAGAAGCTGGATTTGGCGGCGATTGGTGGTTAGCCATGGATTGGTTTTGGTTGTGATCGGAAGGAAGACGAGGAGGATAGCCGTATTTTTCGTATTGTTCTGGTGGATAACCTGGTGGGAAAGGCGGAGGGTAGCCATATCTTTTTAGTTCTAGAGGATAACCTGGTGGAAACACTTGAGACATGTTATTGTGATGCAAGTTAGCTAGCTTTGTATTTGTGTATGTCTAGAAAAGCCAATCCTCTTGACACCTTATATAGATGAGAAAGTGAAGAAAATATCGAAATTTCATAAAATAAAGGTAACTAGAATAAAATTGATATTTTTGCATATTAACTTTATTAAGCAACAAAATGTGATCAAATTTCACAAATGTGCATGTAGCTTGTCTTTAATTATTAAAATTAATCTTCCCGGGCTTTTGGCCACAGATTATATCGTGCACTTAGCACTGCTCAGGATGGTGTTTCGAATCTAGCTAATACATGCGTGCTACACGTGATTGCATGAAGGGATCACATGATTTGCTAGGGGATGTTGTGCATATATATAATCTCAAAGAAGTTATGCATGTTTGGTTTAGCCCTACTAATTGTCTAATTGGCAATGATTAAGAACGTGATTAGATCAAAAGTAAAAGTATAATCACGTTTCAAGTTTGGTTGTTTGTTTAATCTACTTCTGATTATAATGGACAAAAAGCCTCAAAATGACACAAATATCTTGAACTTCACATATATAAACTTGAAATTCAGACAACAAATTGTCAAAGACATCATAATCATACAAATGATAGCAAATCTTCAGAGTTACAAATTATCGCAACTAACGATACAATAAAAAGCATAACAAATAAAAATAGTTTTTTTTTTTTTTTTAAAGACAAACTAATACATAGATAAATTATTCGATCAAATTTACAAAATTAAGCTTAAGCACGACCACCAATGTTGCCAAGAGTAACATCACCAGCTACTTGTTGTCCATTAGTATTACCATGATTCCCACCAATTTTCCCTATATCAACACCTCCGGATTTCTCCTTATTATTCCCAACGTTCACGTCCCCGTTCTCTTGCGTACCGGACCCATTCGTGTTACCCCCGGCGTTAAAAACACTCCCGGGGAACGCGTTATAAGGGGCCGGATACCCCCAAGAGTAGTAAGGAGGGTAGCCACAATTCGAAGGCGGTGGATAACACGGTGCCGGGGCATAACCATAAGGTGGATACCCTTGAGTTGGAGCTGAAGCAGGAAATTGCATGGCTAACAAATTTGTAGGACTTTTCTATGTAATTTTTATTTTTTTGACGTGTTTGTGAAAATATCTTCTTTAATTGTATTTTGAAGTGTTATATTTTGTGACATATCATCTCCTTTTATAGAGGTAGGCAATTATAATAGAGTACCTGATTCAAAGTACTACTATAATAATACGAGTACAATAATTTAATGATTTGCAACTTGCTTGTGAATTATAAATTGGTCCTAAAATTTTATTCTTAAAATTATCACGATCAATCACTTTGTTCCTAGAATTGTGATAAGAGATAGGATGGAATTTTACTCATGATTGGACTTGGATAATGACTTCTGTGAATTTATGATCTCTCGATCTCATCCATAGAATATATCGTGATTAATGTGAATATTAAGGTTGCGTCACATACTATTGTTGCTCGTCTCCATGTTGACTTTGATCATAAATAATAAATAATTTTTATACTCGCAGTACCGATACATTAAACATACCAAATATATGTAGGATCGGAATGACCTTTTTTCAGGTCTAATACGGTCAATTAAGTTATATAAAAGGTAATAAATTCATATAAGATAATATAAAGTATAACATAGGGTTAATAAGTTCAAATAAGACATATAGTATTAGAGTTTAGATAAGATAAAGATAAGTTCCTATAAAATCTCATGGTTCATTAAGATCTGTAAGATAAGTAATACAAATGGAGTAATACGAATGAAATAAAGGATGATAGATTCAGATATAATAAAATGTTGATGATTAAGTTCAGATAAGATAAGAAAATAGCTAATAAATTCGGATAAAATACCCTTATAATAATAAGTGAAATAATGTAATGTAATTATGTAAAGCCTCATATAGAAAGAGGAGTGAAGACATTAATGTTCGCAACTTGACAAGTCGCAAGTCCCCCTAGTAGGCTAGTATTTGCAAATGGAATAGGAATCGGAATTATTCTGCTAATGAACTTAACAATTAAGTCAAATTATTCTAGATCTTTGTTATATATGGACTCACTATAAGCTACATTTTGAATCACAAGTTTAGCATATATATGTGAATGTCTTGTTTAGCTAAGAATTTTTACATGGGCCACTATATATATATATATATATATGCAATCATGCATGAATTGATTTGCCAATTGTTATCTCATTCTCTAAAATGATTTTAATATTTTTAGTTTCTGTCCGTTTCTTAAACATTTAAATTATTTTCACTTTGTTCTGTATTTGACAAATCCATTTATTATTTTACTCTTGTTATCCCACAATATTTATACATTTATATTCACTCTATCTTATTATAATTTAATTCTTACACCAACCCGGCCACCATTTTAACACTTTCTGATCTCCAATTATCTTAATCTACAAACAATAAATTAAATATTACTTTAAATTGTAATAATTTTCAGACATGAAGGGAATATATCAAAACAAATACTCAAGCTATTTGATAATAAAAGAAGAAAAAAAATCTATCCCCATAATAAGAAAAGGTTCACTACTACACCTACCCAAATGCCCCAAATAATTAACTAATTTTGTTTTCTTCCTCACAAAACTTAAAGAATTGAAGAATTTAGGTATCTAGCTATGTATGTAGCTTCATTATCACCAATCAAGAAAGTTGGCTTGTCCAAGTAGATTGTTTGAGCAAACTTTTGTGTTTGAATTCTATAATTTTTTTTTTAAGTATTTGCATTATTTGTTTTATCGTATAATGTAACGAGTACTAACTTGAAATTTGACTTTTATTACAAATTTTACACGTTGGTAAATTAAAATAAATATTTTTTCTGTACTCACGTGTTTATCAAGGTAAAAGTTGAAAATATTAAAATTTCTATATGCATTATCTATTAGTAAAGATTTTTTCTTTTCTTCAATGTTTGGCTGACATATTTCTCTTTCTTTTCATAAACAATATAGATTCACATAATTAATTTTTTCCTTTTTAACCTGCTATTACTAATAAAAGTGTGGTTTTGGATATAATTCATTGAACGTAATTATATTGGCATAGCAATTGCGATTGTGTTTTAAGATATTTGAGCTCGAATCATATTCAACCATGTTTTCAATTTTTTACTAAAAAAAACAAAAAAAAAAAATCATTCAATCAATATTTGATAAAGACTATGTGTCTAATGTGGGCAATCATCTTTGAAGACTTTCATACATAACTTGATAACTACAAAAGTTTAGCATGTGTGAGTTAATTCATACATTGGTCACTCTATGCATGATATGATGTATAGTTAGCCAATTGATTGAGACAAAATATGTAATATCGCATGTGAGCTTTTCAGAGCAAGATAAGCAAATAAAATTATCTCGTACTTAAAATGCTCCGATGACTTACCCAAAGACTCTATTTACAAATTTTGATTTCAACCTCACAAAGTTAAAGCTTAATTAGCTTTATTATCACCAATCTTGAATGTCGGTTGCAATCCTATCAAAAGTTGGCTTGTCCAACTTTTTAACACGTTTAATTTTAGTTGAAAATGGGTATGGATTACCCACAAAACACGGATTATTTACAAGCCTAAAGAAAGTTCATTGGTAGATATCTTTGATTTTAACTACTGTAAGACGATTGTTACTTACAGCCTATTGTAAGGTTAATAAGTAACCTATCACAAGGTCAGGATGAGAATAGGAAACCCCAATTCTCATGTTTGCAATTGCGATTGTACTGTGGCTAGAGTTATTAAATTTCGCTTTCTTACCGTATATATTCAAGTTTGTTACAATTGTATCTAAATATTAAAATTTTATCCGTCTAGGCCATTATATGTCTTAATTGTAACTTGGAGCAAAAACTTATGCCAATTTGAGTGACAAATAAATTTCAGGGCATCTACATACCTTGTGGCCTGATAACTAATCTACTTAGAATAGGGAAAAATCAAAATCTAGCAAAAATTGCCATACATAATAATAGCTTTAGATACATAATGAACATAAATTACATACTAATATTATCCAATGCAACTTATTGAGAATGATCAAGATCTGCTGCTATAAAATCTGACAGAAACGTCTCTGGTGTTACCGACTTCAGTATGCACGTTCACATCGCCGTTAGTCTGTGTACCGGAGCCATTAACGTTGTGGCCGGAGTTATAATGAGAGTAACCACCACCAACCCCAGGGGTAAAGTAGTTCAAAATCACCTGTCCTACCTGCCATCCAGTAAGTTGGCTCAACTGATGATGACCGCCGTTGTTACTAACAGGCGTTCTTACAACAGCAACCTCTTTACTAGCAGCAATTGCAGTAGTGGTAGTAGTAGTATTACTAGTTGTAGGAAGAAGTGGAGGAGTGTTACTATTATGAGTAGAATTCGGTTTCTTCGATTCTTTTTTATGTTTTAGTAGCTGCTCTGCATCAACAAGCTGATGTACAATCCAGTTATGCAAGCGCGATTTACAAGCTGAATTGTAAGGTTCCAATCGAGGAGATGCAAACCTGTCATAGCTACACATGATAGACTTAGGACCTGCAAGGAAGTATCTAACTTGCTGGTAATCGATTGTGAGTTGAGCTTCGATCCCAAGACCTTCTCCGAAACTGACTTGCTTCAAGCAGAGGTTCCATTCAACCTCAGTGCCCTGATCTAGGGAAGGCCAGCGGTCTTGGTATACCCTTATATAGCCCTGCTGACCTTCACCTTCACGGCATACCATCAGGACCTTTTTGTAGATGCTATGAAGGCGGCATTTACCTGTAAAAGCACCAGTTGGCCCTTTTATCCACTTTACTCTCCACTCTGCTCCATTAGGGAGTGCTCCAGAGTCACTCCACTCGTGTTTACGAATAAGAGTAATTGTTTTCTTGTCTTCACAGGCTGTTAGGTAACAACCACAGTTTTGTTCAAAGAGACTTACCACTTTGATGGACTTTAAAAACTTGTCCATGACACATATATTTCTCATACACATACACACACGACGTTTATATAGAATATAATAGACATTCTACTAGGCCTATTGTGTGTAAGCGCGATGGTGAAAGCAAAACAAGTTGTTAAGGATTTGACAAGGAGTAAGCAAGACATGGACGCGTGGTCCACAAGTGCGCGAATGTTAGCTTACACTCTACACGTTATATATTCATCCTAATGATAAATAACTAATGGTATGTTCATATTTATTTGATAAGCACCATGTAACAATGTGTTACGTGATGCTTAACAATAGGCTATAGTTTATGCATAGTACACCAGGAGACAAATGTTGAGTGATGAATATATCCCAACCTTCAAAGTAAAAAGGCGAATGGTATCTTCAATGAAGTGCTTTGAATGAGGAGCACATTATTAGCATTTTCCCTACATAAATAGACGCTTGGACGACGGAATTTATCTGTTCAGCCTCCTCGAGACCTCATATCCATACAACACTCCTAGCAAGATTCTTTTGATATAGACATCCACTCCCATATTTTCTTTTTTCTTGTACAAGATTCGAGTATAATTTGCTCGCAGAATCTAAGGTATGTGAAACAAACTCTCCTTGAGACATATTTCATCCTTACTATACAACATGATAGTTCATATAGAAATGCAAAATTGTCTTTAGTTCATAAAACACGATTATTTGAACATTTATATAATGTTAGAGTCAGAGCACCATTGGCAGTATAATGAAAAAAATTTATCAGTTGATAAAATTGTCTGTTTTTTTTAAAGAAATACTATTGCTACTGGATATGAACATGGCATGTTTCAGCTAGCTTCCTGATTACGCTTTCTTTACATTGAATTTTCGTCTACTGAAAATTCTCTGCTAATTTAAACGGAACAAAGGCATTTTGCTATCTAGGACTGACTTCGAAAATCAACAATAGTCCAAATTAAAGAGTTTATTGGCATGTGTGGGTACGTGATCTACAAAAATTCATTGTCATGTACTATATACAAAGTAATTATTTTGCGCATAGTACTAGTATAGCTAAGCTAGATGCTTCCTAATGATATTTCCTGACCTTTATATATATATATATATATATATATATATATATATATATATATATATATATATATATATATATATATATATGTATATATATATATATATATATTTTATTTTATTTGAAACAATTAGTAGCTAGATTAAGTGTATGGTAGAGTACCCTACTGAATACAAGTAATGTACTCATGTTGAAACCCACTGTAGCCCACTTGTGAGTATCCTATATTAGAGAAAGAGGAGAGGTGGCTCCATTTTAGACTAGAGTTATTACATTTCGCTTTGTTGTGGTACAATTCAAGTTTGTTACTGTTACATCCAAATACTACCAGTCCTTAGGCCAAAATATGTCTCAATTATAACTTGCATCGGAGCGAAAACATAAGCCAATTTGAGTGACAAATAAATAAATTTCAGGGCATCTGCATATCTTATGGCCTGGTAAGTGGTAACTGATCATCTAATTTGAGTCTTTGATTAGGAGAAAAAATTAAGCAAACATTGTCATACAAGATTGTAGCTTTATTTATAGAATCAACATAAACTACATACTAATGCCATCCAACACAACTAATTGAGGATGATCAAGATTTGTAGCTATTAATATGTTGACAGATACGTCTCTGGTGTTACCAACTACAGTTTGCACGTGTACATCACCGTTAGTCTGTGTACCGGATCCATTAACGTTGTGGCTGGAGTTAAAATGAGAGTAACCACCACCAACCCCAGGGGTGAAGCAGGTAAGCACCACCTGCCCAACCTAACATCCAGTAAGTTGGATCAACTGATGATGACCGCCGTTGTTACTAATAGGGGTTGTTACAACAGCAACCTCTTTACTAGCAGTAATTGTAGGAGTAGTAGCAGCAGTAGTAGTTGTTGTAGGAGGAAGTGGAGGAGGAGTGTTACTATTATTAGTAGAATTCGATTTCTCCGATTCTTGTTCACGGTTCAGTAGCTGCTCTGCATGATCAAGCTGTTGTACAGGCCAATTAGACTGCGATATACAAGCTGAAGTGTAAGGCTTCAATTGAGGAGTTGCAAGCTTGTCATAGCCACACATCATAGACTTAGGAGGACCTGCAACGAAGTATTGCTGCTGCCGCTGCTGATCCTGCTTCCACTTCTGCTGCAGCTGCTGCTTCTGCTTCCACTCCCGCTCCCGCTGCCACTGCTCAAAAAACAACTCACCTTCACGGATTGCACACTGCAGCAAGTGCTGCTCGTGGTTCGTCTTCTGCTCGCTATTGTTGTTACTCTTAACAACCTCTACAGTCCATATTTTAGAACGAACATAGAACCTAAGCAGACTCCATTATCAGTAGTCTCTAGATACCTACTGTCATTGACATGTTTGAGCTTCGCCTGAAACTCTTTATCATCGATATTCATATTTTGGAGGAACCAATCACAAGCACCATTTGACACAGGACATGACTCTTGAATAATCAACAAACAATGTCCAACAGCCAGCAACTTTTCGTAGATGCTCTTGAGACAACATTTTTATTTATTTATTTATTATTTATTTTTTTGAAGAAAAGTTTGAATATATTATCCTTGCTTTACAAAAATGTTAAGATTAGGAGAAATTATAAAATTTTAAACATTGATTTAGTGTCACAATTTTTATTTGTACATCGTAATTTTGCCACATTGATTGGATTTAGCATGCATGAGATCGCATATGGAATGTGGCATAACTATGACATACACAGGACGTGTTATGTAGGAATGAGAGTGTGGGGATTAGAAAATGGGATAAAGATACGAGATCAGAGATACTATGCTAAAACAATCGACATAAGCTAGTCTCCTGATCTTTCCTCTTGTCAACAGCGATATAAATCTTCTCTACATGAGTGTGGGCTGCACTGTGGGAGCAAGCAGGGCCAGATCTTGCTATGGGTTGTGTTGGCTACCTTGTGTGGTCCGACTGCAGGCCAAATGTGAGGCCATGTATATTTTGGGCAGCCATATTATGGTTGCAGGTCTAGGCTTTGACTTAAGAGGGTGCATGTTCTAACACTGTAAGTTCTGTTACACGATTGATTTTGTGAGTAGTTTCTTGTAGATCTCTTTCAGCTCATTTTTCACTTAATTGGTCTGCTTCAAGAGATCATGTACCACAGTACCAGACTAGCAGTTCCTCCTTCCAAGTACATGCTCGAAGGCTCAAAAATCTTCAAGTGTTCGAAGGTTCAAAGAGTCGTGGATTCATGCCATAACTCAAGAAAAATAAATGATGCAGAATGGAGGAGCTGATGAAAACTGTGAGCACCATGCCCGACCCTTCTCATACTAATGATTTCTAAGTTACTTAATTTTGCTACCAAGACTTGAATGCTTTATCATTATAAAGAATTATAGCAGATGCTTCAAACACTGCATACTAGATAATTTCTAGCTGAAAACATTCTTACTTGAACCTAGACCATACAATGTTAAATTTTGAGAAAATTGGAATCGGAGCTGAGCCATGTCTATGAAGAAAGAGGAAAATAAAACCACTTATAAGCCTAATTAAGGTTTTATCCCAAAAATCAATGAAGGGAGCAACTCCAACAGCTTATAAAGTAGTTACTTTCTCTCATCTTCACCAGTGTGTAACAATTCACTCCTGTACACATATATGGAGTTTCAGCCTGTGCAATATCATTTATCCGTAATCACTTACTTCAGCAATGGTAACAACGGCCACAGTGAATCCACTCTACTTACAAAGAGCACCCAGTTTAAGTAATGGAGTTTGTCCTCAGGGGCATGCCAAGGTAAGGGACTTCATATGAATGTTTTTTAAGCCTATGACTTTGGCTTTTTACATGCAAGAATAAACTTCAAGTCCCAAGGTATGATCAGGATTATGGGGCCTTCAGTATGCATACTGGACTTTGCAATCTGAAATTGAAGATAAGCAATCAGATTATTCTTAGCCTCGGCATGTAATCTCAAAAAGAAGATAGGCATTACTTAGAAATTACAGGCAAAATGCAGCATACTTAAAAGTAAGCTACCAGTCCTAAGACTCCAAACTATAGCAGATACTTGAATCAAAATAAAGCTCCCACCATTCCCATATTAATTATAAAACTATCGAAACAAACTATACGTTCTATTTATCTGCTTTAGGGGAAGGAAAGAATCAGGCAAAAGGTTGATACAAGATAAAGGAAAAGTGCTTGTTTGGTTGACATAAATAGAAACACATGGGAAGTAGAAGCTCCTAAGAAGTGGAAGAATGAGAAGTTTGTTTGGCTGGCAAAAACATAGGAAGTGTGACCTAGGGCCCCCAACTGCCCCAAGTAGGTGGAACTTCACATGACCAACCAAGCAACTTATTGCACTTCCTAGTAAATGGAACTTCATACATCTTCCTAAGAAATGTTCAACCTAACAGCTGCTAAGACAATCAGGTCTTAGCCTAGTGGTTAAGGTTGAGGCCTTGAGGGCCAGCATACAATAGGCCGCAAGTTCAAATCCCACTCCTCACCCCACCCCCCCCCCCCCCCCACCCCCCCAAAAAAAAAAAAAAATAGTAGTTTGTATTGCCCTTGTGGCTATATATATATATATATTGAGCAGCCAAGGTTCTAAATTCCAACCATTTGCCACAAATGTAGCTTATGAACCATTATTTCAAAAAGTGACATTTTTCAAGATCACATAAGAGAATACTCCAATCATTCCACAGAAAGCACGACATTAAATAAACACTGTGATATATAGTTAGCAAATTACAGTTAAAAGTAGTAATAACCTGGTTCATTTTTCCGGCTCACTTTTAAAAGATCTAACAGGAACAACACTTGCAGAATCACCATTAGTTCCAGGAACATAGTCCATTCCCTGTGTCTTAATCAGACAGAGGAATACCAGTTATCAGCAACATATTTTATTATTTAAGAAAGCCAAAACATTATAAACGAGTCACGACATGCACCTGATTGTTATTAGGAGACTGCACAGTAGTCCTTTGGGGTCTGGCATTTAGATCAATCATTTTGTTATCCATTTGTGCATCAGGAACACCATTACCATCTACATGTACTACATGATTTTGCTCCTTCTCCGTCACAATTGCGTCCGATGATTGATTTGGTTCCCTCCTTACTTCCATTTGATCACCTTGTGAGCTCACGTCATCAACATTCACATATTTATCCCCTGGAAACTACATGCAAATACCCATCAGTGATGGAATTTAAGTAAATTAACAAAATCCCTCAGAGAAGAAATTAACAAAATCCCTTAGAAAAGAGAAAATGCAACAAGCAGACCAATACTAATCAGTAATCAGCATTGAGACACAGACCTCTGCTCTCTGCCTCAATAAAAGATAACGTCTGTGAGTTCTTTTACCGCCAACATGAACAACCATGTCGCATTGCAGGCAAAGCGAACTCCCATCAATCTCGCAATAAAAGAAAGCTGCATACATGGGCTAATTAATCAACTCTACACTAGGAGAACAAAAACATCACTCGGATGCAGAAAGCTACCCACCAGGTGCATTTTCGCAAATGTCACATTTCGGTACAGCATTCGGGGCAGCAAGTCCAACACGTATATGTCGACTAGCAAGCTTGTTACACATATGGACCTGCCACTCCAATTCATTAAAATTATATACATAAAAATAGAAATCTTTTATACATCAAGTATTGGTCCAATAAAATCCATAATAAAAAGCTCAAAGCTCTCAACTGTACATTCAACACACTCTAGTCTAGACTCTAAAGAGAGATACTCAGTATTAAAAACAACAAGCTAAAATAAAAGGTTTTTAGGCTATGTACTTTAAGTCTTTAAGTAAAACTAAGATCAGTCTTCTCAACAGAATTTCGCTGTATTAGGTGATTGGTAACAAAATATTACAAAGTAGATTGTAAGAAAATACCATTAAACATGAATTTTGTAAGACAAGAACTTTAAAAAAAAAAAAAAAAAAGTGGAAAAAAAAAAAAAAACAGTTGATTGAGACCTATTCTATTTAAAAAGACACTGGCCAAATAGTCAAGCTTCATGCCATTTACTCCAACTTTCCCAATTTTTCTTTTGTGTGTGCACACTGTGCTTCTTCCTCCTTTCTCCCTTTAACTGCTGTTCATTCATCCTTATTACTATCTTCCACTAGTAACCAATTTATATCAAGCACACTATGAGCTCGCTTAAATCAGTCCATATAGATATATAGAAATTGATATGATCAATAATAGTTAAAACAACCTATGACCTCTGATTGCAAAAGAAAAATTTTTATCCCGCAAAAAAGAGAAAACATGGATTAGTAGAAGGATAAAAACAAAAAGGTCAATTCCAATCCCAAAGCATAATTCAAACACGAGAGTCCTTAAAGAATAACTAAGACTATAATTAATCAGAATTAAGAAAAAAGGAACCTAAATCAATATTGTTTTGTTATAGTAGGTATTATATTTATTTGTTATAGTTATAGTAGGTATTAAATGGGTAGAAGAAACTGGACTTTTCTACAAGAAAATTTTCATATTCTAGCACCATCAGCTCCTTTTTTTTTTTTTTTTTTTTTTTTTGTTTATTTATATTTAATCAACAAAATTCCACTACAACTTCTCTCCCAAATATGACCCACATAAACAAGAACAATATTTACGTACATATGGAGTGAAAAAATAAAAAAATAAAAAAAAAACTATCTTTAGCTGTTTATATTCCTCACTCCTCAGGGTTCAAATTTATACTCAGAATGGTTTGCTTATGAGTTCTAATTCTTCCTCTAGTAGCGATAACACTAGATTTATGCTATTTGCACTGAGATCAGCAGATTTACTTCCGCATCAAAGTCATCTGAAGTAAATAACAAGGAATCTGTTGATGATTTGAGCTACAAATAATTGCAGGTTTCATAGTTCACACTACAGGTAATCAGAATGTATGACAATGCCATCCCACTTCTTGTCAATGCAAGAGACCTTCAGCATCCCCTCCAAACACAAAATTGGAAATACATTTCTATAATCTCTTCCTTTATCATTGTCAATGCCTGTTACTGTGTATATTTGCCAAATCAAAAATCAAACTTTAAGCAGAATGATTCCATAAACTACAGTAGGGAAAGAAAAGAAAAGGAGAAGAGAACAGGGGAAGGGAGTAAAAAGAAGCTGGAGGAAAAGATGGAACCAAAGAGAGCAAGATAAGGCTGAGTTAAAAGATGCGAGGAAGAACACCGCTTATGACTTATCTTTTCAAATCAATCCTACTTTACATTTACTGATAACTACCTAAAGCAGTCAGCCAAAATAAACATCCTTGTGACAAGTTTCATAAAAGAAATAGGGTCCCAAGTCCATAGGATAGAATCTAAAAATTACACCTTATATTCTTATCCGGTGAGCAAAGGTATTGCACACAAATCGAACTCCAGATGCCAAAAGAAGCAAAAGTGTAGCTTAGACTGGTTCAAGCTCCTAATTTACACCTGGTAGCAACAATGTTTCCAGGCTGAGGAGATTGAATAACAAAGCATACGCTTCTATGTGAGAATGTAGCTTTTGTCAGGAGCATCAAGCAAAGTTGATGGAAGATATTTGATCCCATTAGCTGGTCCTTAACAAGAAAATACGAAAAACACAACAAATGATAGCTAAACACCTTAACCCAGTTATCCCCATTCCCCACCAAACACCCTGCCTCCACCCCACATCTTTTACCATAAAAGAGAGAGTTTAATGGAATCCTCCACATCTTGTAACAAATCACATTCAAGATTTGCCCGCCACACAACTCTGAGTTGACTTGAAACCCAACATGTGAAATCACATGTCACATTCAATTCAAACATCCCATATACACCACAGCCACAGATTAGCCAGACCAACCTCACTGTATTCAAATGCCAAATATAGCATTGTATGACTGTAGCCTGAACTTTCATCCTCCCGAGTAGCACAAGCCCATTTTCAGTATGTTCTGAAAATTTCACACTACTACTCCGTACTAAGTACTAGTTATACTTCAGAAATGCTCATTTCAAATTCTCCCCTAACAACCCATTGGGTAATCATATCAAAAACTTTCTAGAACCACTAGAATTTCCAACCACATATAATGCACCCATTAACTTTGTATAGATATGGATGTCAACTAGCTTAGCTTACGTGGTTCCATGGCCTAAGATCGAATCTCGTCTACATCATTAGCCTTGTTAGTTGCTCTCTCTACATCCACCCAAAAAAAAAAAAAAAAAAAAAAATAAAATAAAAAACCCTTCACTTTGGATAGTTTTGATTCTTCCACTTACCTAATTTGAATACTAGATTTTGAACACAAACCCAAAACATTACCAATTAAGCTAAATCACTAAATCTAATGAATACATTGAAATTGGAAAGCATTAAAAACTCGCAATTAAACAAAACCCCATCAAAAATCATTAAATCAACAACAAATCAAATTAATACAGACTACTCAAAAAATTACCAAAAATCAAAAGAACCCAGAAAAAAAGAAAGTACCTTCTCATCACAAGCACGGCAAAGAGCAGCCTCATCAGCAGCACAAAAGAAGATTGCAGCAGCACCTTCACAAACATCACACAAAGTCCTCATTTTTCCCTATTTCTTTCTCCAAATTCTGAGCTTCAAGTATTACAAAATCGTATTTTGGGATGGAATTTCCATGGATTTGATAATGGGCAATTCAAAAAATAAATAAAGATTGAAACTTTGGGGTGTATTTTATGGAAATGGAAGATTGAAGAAGAAGGGTTATAATAAAATTAATAAATTAATAGATAAATGATGAAATTATTTATCTAAAAGAAGAAACAGATGGTTGAGTTGGAAGAAATAGGTGGTGACAGTACCAGATTGTTGGATGTTTCATAACCCACTTACTGATAATAATAAAAGACTACTCCAGAAAAAATCAAATTCTCTCTCTAGTTTCTCTCTCTAATTTCAATTTGTTTCTCTGTCTTTGTCTCTCTGTTGTATTTTCCTTTGGCTTCTGTTCCGGAGGATAATTTCAATTTGTTTCTGTGTCTTTGTCTCTTTGTTGTATTTTCCTTTGGCTTCTTTTCCGGAGGATCGAAAAAAAATGGAAAATAAGAATATCCTTTTTTTTGTTTTTTTTATCTAACTTATTTATTAATTATACATGGAATATTAAATTTCATTAATGGCTACTAAACAAAAAGTTGTGGCAATTTCTTAAAAAAAAAAAAAAAAAAAGCTGTTGCATTTAGATGGGTTCTTATTTGCCGATTTAAACCCTTGTAATAGTTAAACAAGGAGCATAAGGAGGTAAAAATCAATCGATCCAAAATCAGATTATTCTAATTACAATGTCCAAAAGAAAAAGAGAAAAAAAAAATTATATTTAATTTAACGAGATAAGGTAAGGAAATAATATGAAATCTTCTAAAAATATCTATTTGGTTGGTTGGTATTGATTGAAGATAATTTCTTTTTTTGATGTTTGCATAATTGCCTTTGATGAGATATCACGAGACTGTTGATGTGGCACCATAAGAGGGAAGCATTTGAGGTTTGCTTTACTCTCATTAATCCCTACTTCTAAATAATATTCCGTGATAAAGATTTTTAGATTATACTTGTGTTATTGTGTTACCAAAACATGAATTAATTATAAAAAAAAACAAAAAAAAAAATACTTCACTTTAGTTATTCTAAACTTAACTTATAAAACTTTTGTAAACAAAAAAAAAAAAAAAAAAAAAAAAAGGAAACAACTTATTAATTGTCTTCACCTTATATCAACACTTATCAAACTTGATTGTCAATTTCCATAATATGATAAACAAAGCAAGAGTTTGATTCTATTTTCCAATTGTATATATTGATTTAATAATGTATATGTGTTTGGCGACTTTAATTTGGGATGTGTCACTGTGTCATATGAAACTTGTTTTGATATGATACATTGAATTGTATATCATTGGATATTAACAAATCCAATTACGGTTCATATACATGTTTGATTATAGTTTGATTTTTTGTTTTGCGTCTTACAAAGAATACTGTTATAGTTGATGTGTTGATGTAGACGATAACCAATCTCATATCTTGCAAAAAGTAATTGACATCCACATAAAATTGTAAATCTCTACTATAGTTATAAAATTTTGGTTTTCAACTTGAGATGAAAATGATCGAGTAGTTTCTTGAAAATAGAGTGATTAATCACTATGTGCCATGAATTTAATGCAACTAAAAATAATGTCCACAAACTAGATTAAGAAAAAGAAATGATGGAACGAAGTCATAAAAATTGGGTAAAAGCTCTTTTCTTCAATTTCATCCACTAATTCCATGAACTTTTCTGGCCCACAAATTTCTTTATGAACCACCCATTTGGCCATATTCACTTCTCTGTTTTTTGTCCATTTCGTGCCAACAAAGTCAATCATTCTACTTAAAGAAAATATTAAGGATTTATCTTTATTTTAATTTACTCAAATTAGCCATTATTAGATGCTTTTAGCTTTACATTATTAGATTATTAAACTTTAGGAACCAGGTGGATTCTTTATTTTAATCTTGGGTTAGATGTTTTCAAATAATGCCTAATATCCATTCTTAGATATGTTATGCTTTTTTGAATATTTAAATTTGTGGCCATAAACTAATAAGAAGTATAGCTTTGTTCATCATAATGTAGTTTTGGTCATTGGTCACTAATGGAGTGATATTGGAGTAGCTATTAATGGTCAATTAAATGTTATTAGGAATGAAAATAGATTTAATTTTCCCTAATTATGTAATCCAGAAAATATATGGACATTTACTTAAATCCTTCAAACTAAGAACTTAAACTTATTGGCAAAAATTAATTTCTCTGCTAATCACTAATAAGAATTACACGTTGAAATTAGTTGGGGGAATGTGAGTAATGAGAGGAGTTGGGGGGAATTGGGAAAATAAATGGAGGGAGTCATTAGATTAGGTTAATTTGATTAAGTTTAGATTAATTTGATTAAAGAAAAATAAGGGTAATTTTAAGTAAGGGTAAATTTGTAATTTTCAGGGTTTTTGTTTACTTAAAATAGAAAAAAATAGAAAGTTGCACATAATGTTTAGCGAACTAAAATGGCAAAAGTTGCACATAAAAATAAACGGAGGTAGTATATAAAAGAAAAAAAAAACTAATTTCAACGTGTAATTCTTATTAGTGATTAGCAGAGAAATTAATTTTTGCCAATAAGTTTAAGTTCTTAGTTTGAAGGATTTAAGTAAATGTCGATATATTTTCTGGATTACATAATTAGGGAAAATTAAATCTATTTCTGATCTGGTGGGTTGTTGGCTATGTTGGCTTGTTGTCTGATCTGTTGCATTGTTGGATTTTTGGGTCTGTTCAGTTCATTTCTCTGATACTCGGATTGTTGGTTGTCTGATTGTGTTGGGTTATTGTACCTTTTCCCTGGTTTTTTTTATTGTGGTGGCTTGTTGTCTGATCTGTTGGATTATTGGATGTTTGGTTCTATTGAGTTCATTTCTCTGATATTCAAAGTGCTGGTTGTTTGGTTGTGTTAGGTTGTTGTATCTGTTGGTTGTGTTTGTTGTTTTTGATTAAGTTGGCTTCATGTATGTTCTGGTGTGTTTGACTGATCTGTTGGTTTGTTGGAATATGCTGGCTTGTTGGACTTGACATCTTATCCTAGTGATTGTTGTTGATCATTGGGTAGTCAGTCTCTTACTGGATGGATCTGTTAGTTTTTGATTAATTTGATGGATTATGTTGGCTATGGGGATTGGATTGATGAATGATGAGGCTGCTGTGTTGTTGTTGTTTATTATTGGCTACTCACTCCCTTACTGTTTTACAAATTTCTTAAAGGAGTCACCTTTGATTATCTTTTGTATCCTGATTTGTATTGAGTCCCCTATTGTAGTGTGTTGTTTACCTTATCCAAATCCACATGATGAAGGGACTCCATTGAATTTCACTAAACACAAGTGTTTTGCTCCAACAATTTGCTTAATGCTCTTGTTGTTGAGGTAACCTTGTGACTTAGTGTTGTATTCAACAATGACATACAAACCTTCTGATAGATTGAGTGCCCATATAACAACTGATTCTTTGTCATTTCTATTCCATTCAAAATGTGGGTACAAAAGGACCATACCTTCATCAAAAGACTTTACAACAGACTGCCTTACATGCTTGAATCATTGTAATCAACAAAATACACCTAACTAACTGGAAATTGAATAAAATATATATATATATATATATAAAAACAAAACAAAAATATAAAAAAAAACAGATTAACATAGCTAAGTGGTTATGTGTGGCAGTCCATGTGTTGTCTCATTGATGTGATGAGTCCCCTAATCTGCATCCACCTCTATATCTTCTGTTGCTTCTTCATTACCTTGATTTGCTGGCCTAAACATAGTGTTTAGGTACTCCACAGCCTCCATCACTACTTCCTTCTACACTTCTACTTTATCTGGTAGAATGCCAATATTTTCAAGTTTTTTTTTTGTTCATGTGGGGTATTTTGTACTTGTTCCCACCTTCTGCCTTGAGGATCTTTATCATGCATTTTTGCAAAGTTACCCAGATGTATTTGTTAACTTGGGGATTGAATGTGTCATTAGAGTCTCTCACTTTTTCAACTAGCCCATCTAAGTTTCTAGGAAAAGACTGATATTACAAAGATTGAATAGACCTAAATAACCTTAAATCAAGCACATTCAAATCAAGTGACTCTGCTCGCTGAAAAATAAATTGAATGTTGAACCCATTTGCTGTTATTGCTGCCATAAATTCTGCATCATTAGGAACTTGGTGAGGCCTTGCATTGTCCCATTGGATGACAACATTTTTGGCCAGACTTTCAGGCCACTTTGAGATGATTGCTGGTGTGACCTTTGTCAGCAACATATCTCTAATCACTTCTCTGTTTACATTCTGGAGTGCCTTTGTTTCCAAAGTTCCTTTGGCTCTTTTTTTGCTTGATTTCTTTACTAGTTGCTGGACGGTAAATGGGAATATGCCATACTTCCCATCATGTAGGAGTTCCCCATTTCTATCATACAATGGCTTCCCAATAATTGACATAAACATTGCCTTCAGCTTGAATCTTTTTTACCGTACTGCCATATATGGATCCTCCTCACTTGACAGTAGATAAAACCTCCTCTTATCAGGGTTCAAATAGAACCACTTTTCATCTATGTGTATGACATGTTTCATGTCAACAAATATGGGGTCCTCATTACTTGTAATTGGATTATATGTGACAAAATCCATCTGAGTCTGGCTACCTTATGATCTGATGTTAGTGCTGGCTTATTGCAGCTTGTGTGTGTTCTTAGCCTTCCCTTTTTCTTCAAATTGTGAACAGTGACATGACTTATCTTCAGTGCTCCTGCATAACTCCTTTCTGTCTGCCTTAAATGCAAAGGGACTGCCTGTAGAATTTCATCTGATATTTGCAATGGCTTTCTCCCTGTTTTGTCATACTTCTTAGTCCTGACATCAATCAAGTCCCCTTTTGCCAACTGTTTTTTTATTTCTGTGAAAATTCGTGTAATGGCGGATTTGTGAACATTGAATTGAGATGATAATTGTTTCATGTGACCCCTTGGTAATCTTCCCTCATGCATTTTGACCAACATTGCATCAACAATTTGTCTTTTCTTGTGCATGTTGAGTTGCTTTCTGTCTGCCATTTGAGTCCCTTGATGAAATGGTTGTTGCATTTGTGAGGAAGCAACCTCAGCTTCTATGTTTTGCTGGCCCTGTTCTCCTTCTTGGTTGTCTTGCGTGTTTTCATCTTCAGATTCACAGTCCCCCATGCCTGCATCTTGCATTTCTTCTTCATGGTCATATCATAATTCTGCCATCTATTCTTCATTTAGTATGTGATCAACATCGAAAAACATAGCATTAACAAATTCTGCCATGTGTTTTTCTTCTTCAGCACAGCTTGATGATGTAGGGGGGCTGCTGATTTTTTGTGGAGTAGATGAAGGATGCAGCTTGATGTGCAGGACTAATTTCAGCTTAGCCGATTTTTTTTAGGTTTTAATGGGCTAGTTAATGTGTAATTACTGCTAACTTAATGATGAATGAAGGCTTTATATGCCTTAATGGGATTCAAATTTGCAATGGAAAC